TGCTCGGCAATCTCTTTTAAATTGACCATTCTTGCCACAATTATAACAGGTAAAATCTTTCTTTCCCGTTCTGGATTTTCCCCATCTGGATTTTGATCTGCCACGATTTGAATTTCTTTATGAAGTTCTCCCTCTATACTCCGTGTGCAAGGCTGAGGAGGTTGATGCTTCACCTGATTCTCTTCGTCGAATTTCTTCACTCAATACCAGATCCCGAACATTGTCGAATTTTAATTTGTTGTTTCCCGACGAGCTGTTGACTGCTGTAACAGTAGCATTCCAATTGTCTGGTAGAGATGATAAGAGAATTAAAGCTCGAACTTCATCATCGAATTCAATTTTCACTGAACTCAACTGGGTTTTGATTGTGTTGAGTTCATTTAGGTGTTATGACACTGATGCCCCTTCCGCCATCCGCAAATTGAATAATCGCCTCATCAAATAAACTTTGTTTGAGGCCGATGACTTCTCATACATACTGGAGAGAGCCGCCATAAGACCCGCCGTGGTCTTTTCCTTTGCTATGTTGAAAGCAACATTACGGGATAACGTCAGTCGAATAACTCCAAGGGCTTGTCTGTCGAGAAGAGCACAGTCTTCATTCTTCATGCCCTCTGGTTGCTTTCCTGAGAGGGGTTGATATTGATTTTTCTGGTACAGAAAATCTTCGATCTGCATCTTCCAAAAGCCAAAGTCCACACCATCGAACTTTTCAATTTTCACCTTCCATTCGTCTACAGTCATCGCTCCCACTCGAATATGGCTTCGTTTGGATCGTTTCTGACAATTCTTGCGAACCACTGTGTATAGGAACACCTCCGTCGACAAATTTGTATCGTCGACAAAATTTCACTATTCATGAAATTAACTATTCACGTGAATAGTAATGAATAGTAACCTTGCAAAAAATTGACAAAATTTATAACCAAAAGCTTTGATTACGAGTTGTTAGGAAATAAACCGAGTACGAGTAATTTCCCTATAACCAGATTAGTGAGAATGCGAAACAAAAACGAAAAAAAAATACCCGAAATTGATAACGAAGTTCAGCCAATTTTGCTTACGTCTCCGGACTGCTGCAGATATTTTACTAAGAGAGAAAATTTATAGGTGTTTACAAAACACTCACTACTCACAAGAAAGCTCTCTAGTATTGGGAGAAAGAAAATGATTTGGGATGATTTTAAAGCTAAATGAGCTAGGGTATTTATAGTTGAAGCTTAGGGACTAATCTTGTAAATACCCTAAAATATAAACCAATTTGATAATTATCCCTTTACCAAATGTCAACAAAACCTGCTATTTAATTTCCAATATTTCGGTGCATTTAAAACACCACCGAAAGCAACCAAAAAATTGGTTCAATTATCAACATTTGTTGGCCACCGTTTTCCTTTCCATGACTTTTCAACCATTTTGTTAGCCACAAGCATGAACAATCACTAGCAAAATAGAGAACTTTAGAATACTTTCTATGATCATTGTTCCGTTTACTTCGCCCTCTCTCTATCCTCCCACTAGAACTAATTTATAAGTTGCACTCAATTTTTCTCTTTGTATTGTTACAGATTTTCCACTATATTGATAATAGGCATCAGGTGCACAAAGAAGCCATAAACATTTGTCAGAAAATTTTACAGCAGAAGTCAATTGACTGGAAACCTATATTTCGGAACAACTTATCACAACCAATTCATAATGTGGATTTGGTTGTTACAATTGGTGGTGACGGCACTCTTTTGCAGGCCAGTCATTTCTTGGATGACTCAATTCCAGTTCTAGGAGTAAATTCGGATCCTACACAAGCTGAAGAGGTTAGTTCATTTCCTTAGCCAAGTGCCTTATACCAATTTTAAAATTCAGTTGGTGATAAGAACAATCTTTTAAATTGAATAATACATCTTAGTTGGAGATGGTAGTTATTCTTTTTTTTTTTGGTAGGTTGAAAAATTCAGCAATGAGTTCGATGCTACTAGAAGCACTGGTTATTTATGTGCAGCAACAGTCAAAAATTTCGAGCAAGTAAGGATATATATATATATTGTGTAAAAGAAGGAATTATCATTATTTGGAGATATTGCATAAGAAAAGAATTCTCTAGTGACAAATTTGTTGTGAGGATGTTACATATCAATTCATGTCTGAAAAGGACTAAAGTTTATGTTTGTTTAAGTTAGATAATAAGCTTCTTAATTGAAAGTTTAAGAAGTTAAAGGGAACCTTAGGTAAATGCTAGAGATTCTAAACTTACATGCCTATGCTAATTTAAGCTAGAGGTTCTTTTCTAAATTGAAGCTTGTCGATGAAATTATAGATATTCGACATTTCTTTCAGGTGCTAGATGGCTTTCTAGAGGGTCAGATAGCTCCTTCAAAGTTGACGAGGATTTCAGTATCTGTAAATTCTAAAGCTCTGTCTACATGTGCTCTTAATGATATCTTGATTGCACACCCTTGTCCTGCAACAGTTTCTCGGTTCTCATTCAAGTAAGGAATTTTAACAAATAAGTAAGCATTTAAACATAATGATGCAGGCTTTAAAATCTTCTTTTTGCATATTGGCAGAATTAGAGGGAATGACGAGGCATGTTCGCCATTAGTGAACTGCCGATCAAGTGGTCTCAGAATCTCAAGTGCAGCAGGATCAACAGCTGCCATGCTGTCAGCAGGAGGATTTGCAATGCCGATTTTGACTAGGGATCTACAGTACATGGTAAGAGAGCCTATCTCACTTGGAGCAGCCAATTCTAGCTTAATTCACGGTTTAATCAAGTCGGATCAGTCAATGGATGCTGCATGGTTTTCTAAAGAGGGTTTCATATATTTCGATGGCTCTAATGTTTTCTACCCCATCCAAAGTGGGGATGCCATAGAAATATCTTCCAAGGCCCCAAATTTGCAAGCTGTCTTGCCTCATTTGTCATCATAAATCTCATGTAAAGAGCTGGAAAATGACATCATCATTTTTTAATCTTGACTACTTTATAGCTCTTGTAAATACAAAAGAAACGCGTAAAGACCGACCTTTCATTTTCATTATAGATAAAATCTTTTCTTCTTCGAATGCTACAAATGTCCATCAGTACAAGTATTATAGGGTAATAGTCTAGAGTGTTGCTTTAACATGTGGTGCTGAGTTAAAGACAGGCCGTCGATATCGTATTCATTGCAGTCCTCGAGTATCTAAAAGTGTGAATTTTAATCAGCTGAAGTGGCAAAGTTTGGCCGTCTCTGTTAGACATTTTGGAGGTGGGTTGATGTTGAATCTTTGTAGCATTTGTCTGGTGTCCATATCATGCAAATATAAAGATAAACTTAGAATGTTTTTTAACTCTGTCTTCCCCTTTATGCTTTGTGGATATTAGACATTGGTGAATATAAGTCTGGCTGTAAGGGAATAGAACAAAAGAAAGTATCAATTACCCTGCAAAACGGGTCATTTTTCCATTAATGTACCCCAACTTAAAAGCCTCTTCACGTGAGTGGAACACCTTGCCACGTGAGTTTAACCCAGAAGTCGAAGGAGCTTTCTTCTACGTTTATTGGTCGGTTTCTTTCCGGTTGTACGAGTCTCCTTTCGCGATCATAATTATGTGTTCTTTGTAGTAGCTTTTTCTATTGTATCAGACACGCATTAGGAAAGGGATAAATCAGGTCTCCTTTAGAGGAAGAAGCATAGGGCTAGTTTATTGTTGAATCTTATGTTTAATGGAGGAGATTTTAGCATGAGCCGAATCTGTAATCTAAAGATATTTATAGTACTTATAATCATAACTAATAAGGTTTACAATTCTTGACATTATTTGTACGATTAGGATTCAAATTCCAAACCTGTTTAATGCCACCTTTTGAAGATAGTTGTTCGAACAAAGCGGATAATTAAAATTTTATAAAATAATTTCCTTTTGAAGATATCTATACGAATTAATCGGATAATTAAAATATTATAAAATAATAACTCGGAAATAGAATATAATACTGAACATAAATTATTAGAGATATTTAAAGGGCAAGAGCCTTTTTTGCTTTTTTAATCAATTGAGTGGCTCCAACTTATGATATTTTGGACTGTCTTTGTCTCGTCTTGTGGTCATTAGTCAAGCAGAAAATCAAGTTTTTGTCATCCACTCTCTTTGCCAAAGCAGAGGTTTGTCATGTCGGGAACAAGACTCCTAAAAGGGCAGCAAACCAATGACCCCCCCACACATTTCTCAAGCGGTTAAAGCAAGAACTAGCCACAAACAATACATGCTAATCGATGTGACCCCCAAAATCACTTCCTAAACGAGGAACCGAAGCAAACTCCACGCGTAAAACTTGGGGAGTTTTTCATGCAAAAATGGGATCTCGTTAATTGAATGTCACTTTGAGATATTTTGCGCATGGATAATAACTTATGATTCGATTCATCACCACTTGACCGGTTTAGGTCGAGTCACAAAAGTATCGCGAGTATAATTCGTTATTATTCTTTTTGAATTTTCATAAGCCTTGTAAATTTTATCATTTTAAGATGTGTCTTTTCAGTTTCGAACCAAAACATCCCATAGAAAAATTCTAGAGAAAATAGGATCAAAATTATGAATTTCTTTTATGAAAAAAATCTTAGATTCAAATTCAGGACGTACATCTCAAAGTAAAAATATTAGATTTTACTCATGAATTTTATACCGACTTATCCCGTGACAGGTCAAATACAATATCAATGACATCTCAATTTTCCAGTTTGTTTGATAGAAGAAAGAACAGAAAAACTATCATTACAGTTTTCCATCGAATGCATGATGATTCTATACTTCCTTTTCATCATGCTATAAGAAAAACAGTGTCAAGCTTAGCCACACATTTCATCACAGTTCCACTTCAAATTAAAAGATCTTAGCATCCATCGAATCACTACAAATTGCTTGAAATAGACCTCTATAATGCTGCAATCAATAATGATCTGGAAAATCTAGACCTAAGTTCAGCAAACGAGAAATACAAAGTAAATTGAGCATGCCTAAATTTTTTTGCTTAAGCAAAAAGGTTACTGCGGTTACGAGAGAGCTGAGGCCGCTTTATAGGAGAGATTATCAGGTTCCTCAAAGTCATTGAAGGATTAGCAGCAGAATTTCTGAAAGCATGGTGAGCACCGTTACCTCGCCTAACCGGAATGTCTGCCTGCTTTGCTGGTGAGCCACTTGATATATCAAAAGGACCAGAGTTTGAACTGTTTTGTCTTGCTGGCCATACGTCCTCTCGAGGCACTGGAGTTCCAGGAGAAAACCGACAAATCTGCAACAAATAAGTTAACTGGGGAGGGGAATAATTAAGCAAAAATGACCTACTATACATTGGATTGAAATCACGATAGCGGGAACCAAGGAAAATATTAACTGTTTAAAGGCTTTTAGTAAAAGGTTTTTCAGCTTGTTGAATGATCTATTTTAGCATTGAACATGATTACCCTTTCGAATGGGATCTCTGTTATCCATCATGTTAGCTGCTGAATTTGAGAATAAATCAGGCTCATTTCTTGCAAAGAAATTGTTTGCAGGTTGGATGGCTGACCGTTTCACTGATTGGTATTCACTCCTCAATTGATCATACATTTCATCAAGCTTTCTCTTCTGTCTGGAATTTGTGATATTTGAAGTTAGCAGGGTTCAAGAAGCATAATATAAGCTTTGGCCAAAAGAATTAACAAGTTCAAAGAATAGAATTTAGACTGGCCTTGATTTCTCAGAGAACTTTTCTTGGAGCTCTTGCTTATCCTTTGTCAGACACTCAATTTCCTGCTCCATCATCTGACACTTCTTGGCCATTTTCTGATAAGCAGTATGCACCTGATCCAGTTTCTCTGAGAACTTTTCGTGCATTGCCTCGTATTTCTGCCGGTACTGAGCTACAATTCTGTTCATCTTGTACTGCGTTTCTAATTCCTTTTGCCCAATGTAAAACATCACACTTCTGCATGCACTCTTCATCACTAAATTCATTAAGGAAATGGCATGTCTAAAAGGTTTTTTCAGGTTGATCAGAGTCCATTCTCTCTCTCTCAGTTGCAAAATCTTTCAAATGATACAGAACATTACAGAAACACATCAAGTAATTGGAAAATCGTGTGGACTATAATATAAAGGATACATATCTGCGGAGAGACGCCGGCCATTGCCATCTGCAGTAAATACATCATGTAAGCGAGCAAAATAACAAGTAGACAAATAAAGCAGCACCACAATAAAAGACAAATGAAAACTACAGCATGGCGCAGATTTTACCAGGGAAATATTTTAAACAATAGAGCAAACTGTATGTAATAATCCAAGTGAATCGTTTGCTTACATTTATCCATTCATCATTTGGGTTGATATCCACAGGTTTCATAAGACTGAGAATCAAATTTCAAGATTAGGAAAGTAAAATTGAAATCAATAAGATGCAACATCAAAAGTAATTAAACCTAAAATCTACGCAGAACAATCCTATGCTTCATAACAGATTAACAACCTCACCTATATAATCAATAAACACTCAAATTCTTTGACAGACCTCTCTTTCCAAATAATCAATAACTAAAATTTTTCATTGTGTAATTCTATTTCATTAGATTAAAAAAACGAAAATTCTGGAAAGCATTATAATGTTCCCACCAGATAACATTCTTACCTCTTAGAGAGAACTTGATCACAAACGGGGCATGCGGCATCATTGCTAAGGATCTTGCTTGCATCTTCTGTACCTATTTGCAGTGTCAAGGAATCTTTCCATGCATTAACTGTTTCTCAGTCTTAAACAATGGAAACAAAAAATAAAATGTATACAATTGCTACAGCAGTTCGATGAAAATAGTTAGGATAAACAAGAGGTGACCACATGTAGTGGAAATGGCTCGCCCTTCTAATTCACGCCAGCAGGCATTGCATCTCATTTCAATTGATTGTATTTGTCTTCAAATCATAAACTCTATGTGTATCACAAGCAACAATCAGGGCGAGGTTCCTTAGTAGCATATGCCCAATAAGAAGATAAAATGTTACAAGTCAATGACTGCTACAGCTTGTTTCATGAATTGAAAGGAACAAAGCTTTGGTCCCCAATAAGAAAGACTTCCTGGAGTTTATCAATATCCTACGGAATCTTATCCTAATGTTTGGTTGTTAGTTTAGTTTCCTGAAAGTAAGAAATTGCTATGAACGGGTGAACAAGTTCCAATTACAAAGCAAAACCTTTTTTTGTTGTTGAAAATCTGTTTTCTTTTTATTTTAAATCCTTCAAAAGTTTTGTTTTCTTTTGGAATATAAAAATAAACTACTAAAGTGATGATCAGATAGTACCTAAACTAGTAAGTTGAAATTTATATTGGATAAAAACCAGAAATTAAATTATCACCGAAGCTTGAAGATTCATAAATTTTAGGGAAAATGTAATTCAGAACTAATTCATAATCAGCTTTTGATCATTAACGTTCAGGTTTAAGGAAAATTTAAAGCCCTAGAGTTTTTCGGCATTGCAATATATCAGCCAAAAAATATTTTTTTATCCCAGTCGAATATTTGTAAGATGCTCAACCAAATCACCTAATAATTCAGCTTCATAAGGTTCCAAACATGGTAAATGAAAATATTTAGTTCGAGATTTCCAAGTTCTCTGCTATTGTCTTCCTAAATTTCTTAGTAACCAACCAGAGTGATAACCAACCTTTTATCCACAAGTTGACCAGAATTCCTTCCAAATCGACGGATTCACTAGCGACTTGATCTAAAATAACAAAAAAAAAAGTTTATAACACCTAGAACTTCACAGTTAACAGATCATCTAAGATTTTTTTTTTTAAATGGTGGAAATGAGATGAAAACCGCGAACGAACGAAGAAATCGAGAACGCCGAGGAAAAGAAGTTGAAATCGAAGCAATTTTAGTTTTACCTTCAAATATATTATCTGGAACAAAACGAATCTCCTTTCTTTGCCATTTTCTTCGATGGTGAAAGCTTTGAATTGAAAATATCACTTTGGCGCGTAATATTGCTTTTAAATTCTTCAGTTTTGAGTATTTGAATAGGTTCGTTATTGTAATATGCTTGGACTTAGCTCGGCGTCAATGGTAAAACTGCAGTTTAGTCCCATTATAATTATAAAGTTACCGTAGCATAATGAAATAGTGAAATTTAAATTTTATCCCTACAAAAATGGTAAAATTTTAGTTTAATCCCTTTAAGAAATATTTATTAAGATAAATTATATTATTTAATCTCTAAACTTTTATTGTTTTCTTGTTTTGGTCATTAAACTATAAAAAAAATCAATTAAGTCATGATATTTGATTTTTTTTATTCTTTGATCATTCAAGATATAATGAGATGATTGCACTTTTCATTTTTCAACTAATCCTAAACTCTTAAAATTGTCATCATCGTTCAATCATTGATCATCGTTGACTTTCGTTCGCGATAAAACTGATATTTGAATATTTGCATTTCAATCTTTATTTTATGTTTAATTTTTATTTAAAATCGATGAAATTAGTTTTAAATATATATTATTCGTCTTCTCAAAAGAATGATTTTTATTGTTTGAATTTTTAAATAGACATTTCAAATCCCATTCCAACAAAGTCTTCAAATCCTTAATATTATATATTTTTTATACTTAATTTTATGAATTTTAAAAGATTTTTAGAAAAATCTAAATTGATAAAGTGATAGAAAATGACGAGATGAATTTATCGATGTCAAAATAATTGTAAATAAATAAATAAATTATGTTTTAAAACTAAATTGAAAATAAAAAAAAAAGTGGCTAGATAAAAAATAAAAATATAAGTCGGATAAAAATAAATAAAGTACACTTTTAGTTTTAACTTTTAACTTTCATGTTAGCACAAAAACATCACAACATCTATCTATTTATACATAAAAGAGTTTACGGTGTACGTCGTATACCAAAACACATTATTAATGTGATACACCAAACACACTATTAATTAAATTGTTTTTATTAAGTAAAATGTTGATGTGTCAGGACATGTCAATTTTTTATATTTTTAATTTTCACGTCACCTTTCTTCGTTAATATTTTTAATTAATTTTATTCATCCAATTAGGTGGTGATCACTATGAAGATAAAATAAAAAAAATTATTCTAGCTCTCAACGTAAATTAAACTTATGACACTTGCATGGGAAATAATGCACTCAACCATTGAGCTAAACTAGTTATTTAAGTTAATTTCACCACATTTAACTTATATAATGGTATCATCACAATATGAATATTTCCCGATAAATATAAGATTAAAATATAAGACATTTTAAATTAATGACCGAAAGCTTAGTCACTTAATTATGATATGATATTTTTTATTATACTAAACTTAATACTTACTTATATTATTATTAAATTAAAATATTAAAATATTTAATTTTAAAATCACATTATTTATTTATTATTCATAATATTTATTTAAAATTAAATAGTTAACGAAGTCTTTTAATTTAATAATATTACAAAAAAATGATTTTAAAAATTAAATATATTAATCTTTTAATTTAATAAGATATAATTAAGTATTAAGTTTAATATTTTAAATATATTATCCGACAGTACCAGGAAGGCAGCATGGTCTCCACCAGAAATCTGCCACGTGTAAGTTTCTCATAGCCTCAAAAAATATCCGCTTTGTGAGAGGTCGCGCCACCTTGTAAATTCCCCACCAAACCCCAAAAAATTAAATTTGAAACAATTATTAATAACAATAAAGTGAAAGGAATCGGTTCGTTTGGCTTCGCTGGCTTCTTCCCTTTCTCACCCTTCACTTAAACCATCAATAAACCCCATTCTTTAAAAAGAGAGAAAAAGCTGAAATTTTGTGGAATTTTGGGTTTTTTTTAGGTAAGTAAAATGAGAATTCAGTGCAACGTATGCGAGGCGACGGAGGCCAAGTTGCTGTGCTGCGCGGATGAGGCTGCGCTGTGTTGGGCGTGCGACGAGAAAGTCCACGCTGCGAACAAGTTGGCTAGTAAGCACCTGCGTGTTCCGTTAACTTCTTATTCTTCTCAGATGCCTAAATGCGACATTTGTCAGGTATTCCCTCAAAAAGAGAAGTTAAAATATTTCCTCTTTGGGGTTTAGTAGTCATGTTTATTTTAGAAGTCAAAATTTATAATTTTAAGGTGAGTTGGAATCTGGTTTTAATTTAAAATTTTGAGTAGAGTTTCTTTACTTAGCTTACCTGCGAGAAATGAAATATTAAATTTTGATCTATTTTTTGTTAAATTTTGACTTTTGACTGACAAAGAACTAAAAGTAACTCTCAAGCGAAAGTTGTTTTCTATGGCCAAAGTGCGAGGTTTATTCTGGTCCTCAACGTGCGCATTGCTACTGCTGGGATCTATTTTCTTGTGTTCCATCTATTGATAGGTGGAAATCATTGCCCATAAAACTCTAACCCTGTGTTGTACCGCATTTATTGTGGTGGCCAGCTCCTTGATCAATAGAAAAACCTCTTCATCGCTGACAAGAAGCAACTAAACTGAAGTTTCAGATTGATTAAGAAGAAGCAGCCTTTTAATGTTGTTGTAGGAAAGAGTATGGGATGACGACTTATGCAAAACTTGGTGCAACTTTAATGCAACTTAATTACCAATGTAGTTTAGTTAATGTTTAACCAAGATGTAGGAGGGTGAAGATAGAGATGGTGCTCTTAGAATTGCTGCTCTTTTTTTTTTTTTTTGGAAATGATGTATGCGATTTATAAATGAACTATTGTTTAAACTGTATCTGTCTCGGTGCAAACTTCAATCACATCATTATCAGTTTATGATGGCAAAGAAATGATGGCTGAAGTGGTAATTCATTTGTTTTTTGAAACTTTCTAAACATGTGCACTTCAAATATATGTTGGTACGATGGCGGTTCATGGCTAAATTCATTTAGTAAGGGCTAAAGAGTATTTACAAGAAAGCTTTTCCAAGTCATGCCATGTTGGACGTCTAGAAGCTAGCTCTACCTTTTTGTTTGCTTGTGCCTTTGATGGAGGACTGCTTGGCTTGGTCATAGTTATCCAAACAAGTGGTTCTTATGAGCTATTATTTGCTGATATTTTTTCCCACTCTTCTTCCATGCATCTTTGATACTAGTTTCATGTCTGATACTGCACTAAGTTTCATGTCATTTGAGCAATATATAACACTGAATTTTTTGTTGACTTATGTAAAGCTGGATAGAAGCTTATTCGTATATCCTTCCGTGTTGATACTATCTTATTATAAGCTCTCAAAGTACGATCATATCTACTGTTCTGTGGTGGCTGGAACTTCAAACTGCTTGATTTTGTGGCTTAGTTGTTATTTCGTAGTTTTTCCTTTCTTTCTTTCCTTTTGGAATAAGTATTCCTTATTAAAATCAATCAATTTGACATATCAACCTTTCTTGATAGGAAGCATCTGGGTTTTTCTTTTGTTTGCAAGATCGAGCTTTACTGTGCCGGAAATGTGATGTTGCTATACATACAGCGAATCCTTACGTCTCTGGTCATCAAAGATTTCTGCTTACCGGAGTAAAAGCTGGTCTTGAATCAACAACCGACCCTGGTGCATCACCTTCTGATGCCAAATATCTTATAGTGAAAAAATTTCAGAAACTAAAAATAATGCTACATCTAGAAGGGGGGCTCCTATGACATTTACTGGTGGATACAATGAGGTCCTACCATCAAATATTGGAGATGGAAACAATGACCTGAAAAAAGTAACATATGCTGCTGGGGGTTCTACAGCTGGAAGCATTCAGTCATGACAAATGGATGATTTATTTAGGCTATCTGACTTAAATCAAAGCTATGGTTACATGGATAATGGGTCATCTAGGGTACAAATTATAGTTGTTTTTGTACTAATTTTTATATGGCTCTTGCAGAATTGAATGTGTTGGCATAAAATACAGAAGATAATTTTATGCTGGACAAAATT